GCGTTTTGGGAACTGCAAGATTATTCTGTCAAGTAAATATTTAACGGTTCTTAACGAACAAATCATTTTGGAAGCTGAGCGGAAAATGCTATCAACGTGGGTTGTCCACTTCATATCATGAGAGAGAGTAATCCTAAAGGAGTTTTGACAAGCACGAATATCTATGTGTGCATGTATGTACATGTCTAAATCTGCATTTATATAAGTAGGCTTGCATGTGTATTTGTGCTTATGTATTTTCGTATTTATGTGTATATGCATGTAAAATGTGTTCACATAGGCATGTTTATGTTCTTCTTACAAATATTAGGTTACAAAAAACATGAGAACGCACAGTAAAGTTCTAACTCTCAGGCACAATAAAGTACTAATTATAAAGTGGAGTGAGATTGAACAGTTTTAATTGGCCAATTGTATATATAAAAATTACATTTCAAACATTTATTTTTATCAATGTAGCAAACTTACCAAGCCACCTACCCCACTGTTGGATAGGACTTGTAAATATTGTCACGCCAATCCTACTAATGATCATGTAAATTTTGTTGAAGATGAATGTCACTTTTTAATAGAATGTCCATTTTATGATGATTTAAGATACAACTTAGCTAAAGAAGCAACTTCTGTAGATAAAACATTTTATTATATGAGTAGTTTAGATAAGTTTATTTTTTTTATGAACGAAGAATCGCTCCAATGTATTTTAGCCAAATCAATTTACAACATGGTTAAAAGAAGGCATTTTCATTTTAAGCCAAGTATGTATGTATGACTTGTATGTATGTATGTATGTATGTATGTATGTATGTATGTATGTATGTATGTATGTATGTATGTATGTATGTATGTATGTATGTATGTATGTATGTATGACGTGGTGTGTGTGTGTGCACGCACGCACGCACGCACGCACTCGGGGAGCGGGGGCGGCGCAACGGGGTGGGGGGAGTTAAGGGGGAGCGCACTGTTTAACTTAGGACTTTCGAAGTCAGTTGCCCTGTATCCTGGCATACTGGTGCGCTCCTCACTGAAACCGCCCACGGCCGTGCTCCGCGCCTGCATCACGAGGTATGTATTTTTTATTCTGTTTCAACTGAATAGTTTTATGATTGATATGTTTTATAGTGTCTCGTAGGTCATATTTGGCCGGATGTTATATTTTACTGTTTTGTATATATCTTATTACGAAGTGTATATAACATGTGACACTTTAATAAACAATATTCTCTCTCTCTCTCTGTAAAGAGCAAATGTAATTCAGTTTTATGTCATCTTACTATATCAGTTTATTCCTACTTATTTTGGGGATACTATAAACATGTATCAAAGTTTCTATTGAACTAGCGTGAATATATAAAAAAATACTTTGCATCTCATAATTTCCTCGACACCCACTGAAGGCTCTGATTTTGGCTGCGTACGTTTCTGTATACTGAGGGGTACATAGCTGTGGTATCTATGCCGACAACGATCCCTTCAGTTCCATATAGGCCACGGTCGTATGAAGCCAATCGTTCTTCTACCCAGGGTTCCTTGCTGCAAGCCGAGTACCTTTGCCAAATCGTCACATCTTACGCAGTCCGTTCATGTGTTTTTCATCTGTTATTAAAGAAGGGAAGTGCTAACAGGAATACAAGACATTTAAGATTTTTTTATTTCAATTTGGGAACACGTATACACCACCGGATGATAAAAGAGGATAACAAGAATATAATGATAGAATAATAGATGTCTTGTCCCTTTAAGGGGCTGTATAATTATTATCAGATATTGTGTCGATGTACGTTACAAATTAATTAGAAACTCTTTAATTATCCATACTCTCTGGCGGTATGAGATTAATTCTTGGTATTTGGCTCTTGACAAGCAGGCATCAAGTCGCGCTTGTCTTGGAACAATTGTCTATGTAATAAGCTTACTATTGTGTCGATAACAATGCATCGCCTATTCGGCCTCAGGCTGTAATAAACCGAACATGCGCAGACACGGACACCAGTCTACCTGCGGGCTCAATGTTACTGATTGGCATTTTGCAGTTGACATCAATTGAGGACGGTAAAGGGTGAGGGAGGTAAGACGAGCTTGATTTTTGAGGGACAGTTTTATTCATAGCTTATGTGTCAAGCTTGATACTATATACAGTCTTATGTGAAAGAGGGTTACTGTCTTTTATGTTACACTGCATTGACAGGAGGAGAATCGATTCGTACAGTGATTATTTTGGTTCAGCTGACACAATGAATACTTCTGCCTACACTATTCTACCCAACATTGGTTTCTATACAATACAAATGAAGCAGTAGACCATTTGGATCTGAAGTTTTGATCCAGATCGAAAGTCGTGAAGAGACCGGGCGTTTTTATTTTGTTTTGTTTTTACGCAACCAGTTTATGACGTCAGATAATTCGTTTATATCAGCATATGTACTACTGTCAAGGTAAATGTTTCTCGAAATTTAGAAACATCATAACCCCGGCTAGAAGTATTGAAAAAATCATTTATGTTGAGATCGGGTTAGTGCTAGTGTTATAGATAGGTTGCCCTAACCCAGACAAAATGTGAAGCAGGATTTATTGGCGGAAATCTTTCCTCTGTCTGTTCATTTTATTTATTAACTATGTGCTGGATCCTGTTTTAGTACAGACAATATTCATGCTATTCACTCAATCGATCATATATACATTAGATGGTTAATCTTTCATTTCCAACGTGAATAATGGCACACACCGAGATGCAGGTGATCGGTGCCATAGCAACGCACACAACAAAACCATTTGACCACATGGATATTTTGTATCAACCAGCAGATTGGCGAAACACATCATCCAGTAACTGTATCGGTGACATAACAAACAACGACTCGGATGAAGAGCGTTCGTGTGGAACAGCGGCCTTCTGTCGTATCCATGATCGGGGCTCTAGTTGATGGTGGTGTGACCTTGTTGAGGGTATTAGATATGTTCATACAAAGTATGCAGAAGATCATTTTGACATATTATCGTTCGGGGCTCTGTGGTCACTCTATTTAGCCCCCAAGTGAACCTTAGCTAAGCGTCTTCAAGGGATTAATGTCAATCAGACGTGGGAGCATTCGTGTTAGGTCAAGCGAGAGAAACATGGCGTTTGGGTATATCGGTTAAAACCATGTTCAATCATGGGTTGCTGAAGACCTATTCCATCCCGGATCTTCACGGGTCGAGGGTTATGCGAGAATTGCGCTCACGCGGCACTGTATGTACCCCTGGCTATAACATTACGCAAATATATAGAATATTAAATTTACTATCCGATGGCGTTTAACTACAAATATTTAAACCGGTTTTAAAAAAGATACTGCTGAGACTTGTCCGAGAATTGATTCTGCGTTGTCACTCTCGCATCCAAGGGGTTAAGGACGAAAACGGCGTGCCATCGTGTGGAGAGTTTCCCATAATATCAAATTTTATTTATACACTTAAAAGCCACTGGCATCTAGAACAGCCGTGTAATATACCGATGTACCCGTGTAACAGCGCGTGGTTATATATACATGTAACACGTTGTGTGAATACTATACTCCACTATTAGTTAAATAGTTAATTATAGTAGCGGTATTATAATTATAGTAATAGTAACTTTTGTATTCTCTCTATATATCTGACCGCCTCCGTGGTCTTGTGGTAGAGCGTCCGCCCGGAGAGCGGAAGGTCCAGGGTTCGATCCCGGGCCGCGTCATACAAAAAGACGTTAAAAGATTGTACTTGTTGTTACCCTGTCTGGCGCTCGGCATTAAGGGGCTAAAACAAGGACTGGTCGGCTCGGAGTCAGTATACTGTGTCTGAGTGGGGTATTGATGTTAAACTGCGGCATGGTATCTCAGTGAGCTAGCACTATAAATCGGCATCAGTCCGGACTAGTACAAGCAGCCACACACACACATACACGTGCATGCACGTCGCTATATAAGTGCAATAATCTTGGACGCGACGTTAAACCCCATTTCACTTCACCTCTCTAGATATCTAGATAGATAGATGAAATGTCTCCCGGGCCAACTGCCCCGCCACATCAGTGTACTCAGTTATACCATTTTTTGTGGTATCTCGATGAAATATTCTCAAAATATCCACCAATGGTTTGTCTGGGCCAGACGGGACTATTTACAAGCCGGAGTGAGATAGGTTGGATATGTCTGACGGTGATTGAAAACAACACTAAATCAATCATTTTTTACCGCAAAGAATCATTTGTCAATATGCAAATATCTACTTGGTATAGCTCAACACATTATTATTCGTAATCGATAGAAACAAATTATGTGAGATGTGAATATTGGACATAAAGGAAGAACAGTAAATTATAATGTTATGTTATATAAAGTGGGTGCTGTGTGTATACTATACACCACTTTTAGTTACATAGTTAGTTATAGTAAATTATGTGAGATGTGAATAATGGCTATAAAGGCTGAAGATGAATAATGATGATATAGAGCGTCAACGCAAGAGTGAGTGAGTGAGTGAGTATGGTTTTACGCCGCTTTTAGCAATATTCCAGCAATATCACGGCGGGGGACACCAGAAATGGGCTTCACACATTGTACCCATGTCGGGAATCGAACCCGGGTCTTCGGCGTGACGAACGAACGCTTTAACCACTAGGCTACCCGACCGCCCGTCAACGCAAGAGAAAAAACAGTCTCAGTATTCATATTCATATTCATTTGATCGTAGAAGGCCATATTGTGGTGAAAATTATATGTTTGGATCACTGAATATCAGTGATGGCACAAGCTGTTCGCGAAAAGGGTAAGCATTACCTGCCCTACCGGTAGCACCCGCCACTCACACAATTTGTATAAAACAGGAAGTGTTTGTTGCCAGACACCGCGCATGAGCAGCAGTCGAAATAATGGCCTTAGTAAAAGTGTTTGAGTATGGCTTTATGCCGCTTTTAGCTAGTACAATTCTTTTCAACTCCGATTTTAAAACTATATTGTTTTATGATGATCCACAGGTGCATCTGGGAAGGTTTTGGAAAACTGTAGACGTGAACCCTGTGAGCAAGATGTTCTGTCAGGATGTCATTTGGAAGCATGTTTTTAAAAGAGGTAAATATATTTTAGGCTATCAGTCTTCTTTACAAATGAATTTAGAAGTAATTTCTTCGGATAACTGTATATATTGCTTTTTTAAACTACTCGTGAAGTGCACCCATTTAGGGACCGTCAATCTCACCCATTTGACAATGTAATTTTTGTGATAGACAATCCATTTGTTTTTCAACAGTCCGAAGCAAGTATGACATGGCGTTTATATAGTTTATAGGACATACGGCATGGTACGATAGAGCCAGGACCTTTCTGCCCCACTAAAACCACCGGATTTCAAGTTCAAATTTTGTCGAAACTACTGTAGTTCAATTGACGGACGACTGACTACAGTTCCCATCAAGAAGAGGTTAACTTATTACTAGTATGAAAGCGTGCACTGAGCATCGAGTTCGTTCTCAAGTTGAAAACCCATGTTCGATTCTCTTTATATTTATGTCCATCCATGGTGTCCCCTGAGGTCAAATTGCAGAAACCATGAAGAAAAGATGAATACCTCACTCAATAATATTTTTTGGTTTCAGATCGAAGACTAAAATATATGGTTCTACTTGGTATTGCCACCATAGTGGTGTACGGATTCCACGTGTCAAGTCATCTACCAACAGTCGTAGAACCTTCGAAGTCTGGCATCAAAGATGGCGTCGAGGAGAATCAGCAGACACATATAGGAACGCCGAGCCAAAATCTGAATAAAAAGCCGTCTAACAGTATATCCGAAAACCGAAACAAACATTTCATTATATGTATGGAATCTGGTCGCCTTGGAAACGCGATGTTTACTTATGCATCTATTTATGGTATTGCGTCGGGAAAGAATATGAGTGTTGTCATTGATGAAAGCAACCCGCTGGTGAAACATTTCAAATTGGACGCGAAAAGTATGAAGATTCAGTCGCTAAGCGGTTATTTAAAACTGGTCGAAAAAAGTTCGTGTGACTTCGACCAAACATTGACTAAGTTCGACCCAATCAGAAATGTCATGATAGAACGGTATTTGCAATCATGGCTATACTTCTCTCACGTCCAGAACAAAATCCGGAGTCAATTTGATTTCACAGATTCTACAAAAGCATCGGCTGATGGTATTCTTAATAAGATTCGTGAGGAAAGGTCATTGTCAGCCAACGCGAGTGCCACCTTAGTCGGCATCCACTACAGAAGGGGGGACTTTGTGGAGAAACATTTCAAGGATTTTGGTTATCAGCTTGCCCCAGTGGAATATATTCAACGTGCAATGGAGTACTTCCGCTTGAGGTACAGTCACGTGACTTTCGTCCTTGCCACTACTTCCGCTGTATTCATAAAGGATCTTCTGAAGGATGGTGATGTCATACATGTGACTGGAGGTACAGCGATAGCAGATATGGCTATTATGGCGAGATGTGACCATTTGATTCAAACTGTCGGGACGTATGGATGGTGGTCAGGATTTCTAAACAGGGGTACTGTTGTGTATTATAAATACCCAGCAAGAGAAGGATCTGAATTACGAAAATTGTTTAGTAGTGACTATTCAAGTTTTTTTTACCCCAAATGGATTGGAATGGAATGAACGGGGAGCTATTTTCATCTGGTGCTTCATCTTGAGGGATTCTGTCTGATTCATAAACATTTTTAGAGGGCATGAGAAATTTTAAGTCTGAGAAAAATTCTCAGAATATTTTGGATAGGGCCCCAGACTCGGTGACTTGGTTGATTGTGTGGCATACCATCCCGACGGTGTGAGGCGTTGCTCATAGCACAAACCATCGGATGGGTGCGGCGTAAAACTAACATGAGGCCTTTGCTGGGTATTAAGAAGTTGATGGTTCGTACAGGCATCGATGTATGGTTGGTTGGTTGTTTGGTTGTTTAACGCCGCACTCAGCAATATTCCAGCTATATGACGGCGGTCTGTAAATAATGGAGTCTGGACCAGACAATCCAGTGATTATTATCATGAGCATCAGTCCACGCAATTGGGATTGGTGACGTGCATCAACCAAGTCAGCGAGCCTTTTACGACAAGCATAGACGCCTTTTCGTATGGGTTGCTGAAGACCTATTCTACCCCGGAATCTTCACGGGTCCATCGATATATGGAGTCTGTAGAGATATCTTGAGTCTGTAACTATCCCCATCTCTACACGCATGAGGGGTGGTCGAGTAGCCTAGTGGTTCGACACGTCGAAGACCCGGGTTTGATTCCCGACATGGGTACAATGTGTGAAGGCCATTACTGGTGTCCCCCGCCGTGATATTACCGGAACATTGCTAAAAGCGGCGTAAAACTATACTCTTTCACTCTACACGCATTAGGATGTGGAAAATAAGCTCACACGCATTTGTACTTATCAACATCTCTAATACCTCATACCCATCCAGATTCCTCTACTCTCGCAACATTGCTACTGCCACCACCCCACTGACGATACAGGACGAAAGAGACGAATTGGGCATCGAGTGGTTGATATGTGTTTTCAGGCTGAATGTGTGATGGCGTGTCGCATTAGTGTTTGTAATTGTATACATTAAAATATGGTTTATTAAGTCTTGTAATTTAATGTCTTCAGTAGATGATTACATTCATTATTCGTGTGTGTGTGTGTGTGTGTGTGTGTGTGTGTGTGTGTGTGTGTGTGTGTGTGTGTGTGTGTGTGTTTGTTCGTATATATATACTCTATGCACACACACACACATGTGTGTGTGTGTTCGTAATATATATATATCTGGTCTGGTATTTCGTAATATATATATATTAGATTTAGATATGTTAGATTTATAGCCAACCAAATACATTCATTGTGGTGTGTTTCGGCATACAAATCCATCAATTATTTATCCGCTCTGTCAGGTATATCAGCACGCAACAACTACATCAAAAGAAAAACTCTGCTCAATAAATGTAGTAAGGAAATCGAGCAATGAGTCTTCAGTTTACGTAAGGTACGAAATAATCGCGTCTGGACCAGACAATCCAGTGATTAACATCATGAACATCGATCCACGCAGTTGGGATAGCGATCGCCTCTTACGACAAGCATAGTAGCCTTTTACGGCAAGTATGGCTTGCCGAAAACATATATTCATACCAGGATCTTCACAGGTGTCAACAATAAACAAAGCTTCTGTGTTCATTATCGACCTAACCAACCACACAATCTAAAGTTCACACTTTGAATGATCGGCTTACATACATGTATACTAACCACATAAAGAAACTGTGCACGGAGAAAATATATTCTGGATTGAAATACAACACAGCAAGAACAAAATGATGCAGACGCTGTAGCAGCTGAATGATCGGACCATAAGAAAATGTCAACGGGAACTAAACAACATCTGTTACGATGACGTCAGAAGATCAAAATGGAGTGGAGGGTCAAACGACAAAGTCACAAAGTCAATAACGGGTATGACCACCCTGTGCGTGAATCACAGCAGTGCATCGGCGACGCATCGAGTCCACCAAATGGGCATGGAAGGCCTGGGGAATGGCCTGCCATATCCTCCTCAAATCCTGTGCCAAGTCACGGACGTTATCTGGAGGATGTGGAAGACGACGCAGACGGCGCTCCATTTCATCCCACACATGCTCTATTGGGGAGAGATCTGGAGAAATTGCAGGCCATGGCAGTAACATGACATTGTTATGGTGAGGGAAATCCATTGCGACCCTAGCCGTGTGAGGACGAGCGTTGTCCTGTTGAAATGTCAATCCCGGGCCATGACGTTGCAGGAAAGGAATGACCACAGGCCTCAGAATCTAATCTCTGTAGCCAACACCGGTGATATTGCCCTGAACAACCACCAAAGGGGTTCGGTGCCGTGCTGTTATCCCACCCCAAATCATCACAGAGCCACCTCCAAAACGATTACTCTCCAACAGTTGCGTGCATAACGTTCTCCAAAACGCCGGTAGACACGTTGGCGCCCGTCACTGTGGGAAGTGTTGAACCTCGATTCATCTGTAAAGACAACATTTCTCCACCATATTCGAGGTTGGCGAACATGATTTCGACACCATCTTAGACGGTTGACTCGATGACGGTGTGTCAGGATGGGACGTATGGCAGGGCGTCGTGGTCGAATCCCGTACTGACGTAAACGATTCCTGACAGTGTTGGGATGGATACGGTGCAGTCCAGGAATTGTCTGGGACGTCGTTACTGCCGTTTGGAACGTGGGTGGTCGGCAACGTCATTTGTGTTCTGATAACGCCTCGCCAATGCCGATATCGTGTAAAGGCTTCATGACGCTGTGCAGCTGTCAATCTTGGCATGATTTGCTTGTGATATTTTTGTGTCTGCGCCTGAGAAGTTTTGAATCATGCTTTCCAAAGTGACAGCGAATTTTGAGTTGCACATGCTGTGTACAGCTGCACAGGATGCACGTGCAGTAACACATTGCACGTCCATAGGCCCCCATCAATGACGTCATATCGCATGGCACTTGCATGAGCGTTTGAATGTCTCCAATAATTGCTGTGTTCAAACCTATCTTTCATATATGGACGGTGTGCCCTTATATCTATATTTTCTCCGTGCACAGTTTCTTTATGTGGCCAGTATAGTTTTACGTAATTGCAATTAAGTAGGTGTCGCACTTAAACAACACCCGCTCGCTAACAGACCTCAACTGTCAACTGAGATTTAATTAGTGCGTATTCAATTATCAGTGATGTGTGCAGAGCGATGTTGGCGATAGATGATCGCAACTCCCATATTTTAACATAGCCTTACGATAATCGTAGTACTAAGCTCGCTTTGTGCAGGTGAGCTCAGGTATCTCATGGATAACTTCGGTGTTGGGCGCAGTATTCGGGCATTTGCTAAATCAGCAACAGCTTCAGCTTGGATGCATCTCCCTGTATCGGGTGAACTGGAAATTGCATATTACATTCATTTCGTATGTTTTCAAAAGACTTGCACAAAGAAATAACGAAATAACATTTCCTGTTCGGTTCCTCGTTTTTTTAGCAAAATACGCTGACCAGTTATTTCATTATTTATTTGTACACAAAGGCGTATCATACTGAAGGCATTTAGAAGTAAGAAGAAAATGATGACATGAAACTTTTTATGGATAGTAACTTCTTTTATTCTTTGTTCACGGCGTTTCAGAGTTACTTCTTGCTCCTTCATCAGGTGATGCCGAGGAAGTGTATCATGATGTGTTTACACAACACATGGTGGGATGAATGTACAAAGATAACAATGTAATGACGAAGCCAGTGTGATTAACAGGAGAGGATTCAATTAAGTACACCGGAGGTGTGGTGATGACAAGGTGCTGGCTGTTGTGACACATGCAATAAGGCAATCAAGATTCGTATCCATAGTAACTTCTTTGAGAGGCATTTAGAAGTTGGAGTACTAAGTGAGGATAAGATATGTGGATGAACAGTTAATTTATGGTTACTTAATACAGAACAAGTGCTCTCGATATTTTCTTATTTTACAGTGACTCAGATAAGGTTGAATTTTTTTTTCATTTTTAACTATCCTGTATGTCCTAAGTTTTTCTCCTGTGCCTTTAGTTGCATTAGCATCTGAGGAGTGTCCTTGAAGGGAGACTTATTTCGACTTTATTGTTTCTTTGAATGTTAGGGATAGGATATCTGAATTACTCTAACTCTGAACGCTAGTTGGTATACCTAAAGATGTACACTCAGCAAAAGCATTTTGAAGTATTATGGTTTTTTCATCTTCCCGAGGAAAAGGCGTGAACTAACTAGAAAAATCCAGTTTTCACCCTTTCCGAACTAGGCATGAATTTCCAGACTCGATCGTAGCGCCACCTAGGGCTATTACGAGTTTTTGATGTCCCCCCCCCTATCGACCAATCAGATTCCACCTCTCATAACACTTGCGATTGTTTCAAACAAAATGGTGGTACCAATTCAAGACGATCTGATCTATAATACATAGTTCCGACCGGGAGCCCCTTAACCATTCAGAGCGCTCGCTTTCCTTCACTGCCGAATAGTTTGACAAAAGGGCGCCATTCTGTCCCCCAAGCGCTAACGTTATCCAAGGCCTTTACAGCCACGTGTTGTATTGGGGTCACTGCATGGTAATTTTAGGTATGACTATAAACAATGCCAAATGTAAAGACCAGCTTCGGTTGCTAGAACCATTGTTTTATTACCATCTGGAGATTTTGCATTGGAGATTGCATATTGTTATACTTATTTAGGCTTACTTTCAACAGAACACTTAGATTATGGACGTATGGCAAATGCTGTGGCATGGTCGCCAAACAGAGCGCTAGGCCTACCTATAACAAAATATAAAGTACTGGGTGATATGCAATATCTAACCTACTCTAAGTTGTATCATTTTATGCTATGGGCTACTGTTGAATATGGTGTTGCAATTTGGGGCACGTATACTTTTTCTTGTATTAATGCTGTGCATAATCGTGCCTTTCGTTTCTTTTTAGGCTCACGCAAGCATGCTCCGAATAATGGTGTTATCTGTTATATAGGTTGGTCGCCTTTTGGTGGTAATCAGTGAAGAAGTGTGTCAAGATTTTATAGACACTTATGTAAATTAGATTGTAACTGCCAATTATTTTTTATTTGGAGTAAAGATTTAGCAATGAAAAAAAATGGAATTATGTCTTTATGTCAAATTTTGGGATCTTAAGTTTGCTCATTTTAAAAACATAAACGTTGATTATCACATCCCTTGTGTTGTTTCACAAATTACTGATGTTAGTTTTAATGATCATGTACAGAAATGGAGCATGAAGTGTCGCAAGCAGGCAGTAAAACTGGAAGAGGTGGTAACAAAATAAGAACCTATTCTACTTTAGAATATGAATTTGGTTGTGATTTTTATGTAAATTGGAACATGTCTCGTCCATATAGAAGGGCACTGCCTCTTTGTGATGTAGTGTAGCCCCCCTAAGAGTTGAAACTGGAAGCTATGATGAATGTCATATGTTTCAATTGTAAAGATTTTATGGAAGATACACTATCCATTATATCATGTTGAACGTTTAATCTTTTTAACTAGTGTACCCAATTTGAGGAAGGTTTCATGTCCTTTAACGACAGAGATAAGGTTAGTTTTATACTGTCATACCCCGAACTGTCCTTTTTAACTGCCAAAATCTGCCGTAATATCTTAAAAAAACGTTCTGCAATTTGTATATGCCCACGTTATATATATTTTATTGTAATTGTTTACGGTTCTATCTTATACCCTTAGTTCATATATAGTTTGTTTTGTTGTACGCATAATAGTCTCTCGTAATGCCGCATGGAATGGCTCAACTTATTTTAAACATTTATGTGTATAATTTTATGTATCAAATATTGAGGTGAGACTTCAATAAAATATCTGTCTGTCTGCTTTGCAAATACTTAACTCGTTGATTTACAAAATCCGAGCTGCAGTTTCTCGAGGATCAATGAATCAGAATTTTTCAGGAGGATTGATTCTATACCCCAGATTTCACTATTATATAGAATTACTGGCTCGATTAATGTTTTGAATAATTTGCAAGCATGAGCTGTAGGTATATCTTGGTTAAAAATGGAGACGGAGGCTTGTGGTAGACCTTAGGGCCTTTCCCAGGAGAGGTTTAGCACTATTTTGAAGTTTACCATTTGCTTCAAATGTAATTCCTAAGTAATTATAGCTAGTAATTTTAGCTATAACTAGTATTTTTTGTATCGCCCACGGTCCAAGTATTCTTTTCTTATATTTTACTTGATTCACCAAACACTACAACATTTGTTTTGTCACCATTAATCGTTAGGTTACTTGTTGCACAAAATACACTCAGATCATTAAGTTACACATGTAATAAAACATTTCAATCGTCAAATAGTACTAAGTCATCGGCAAACAACAAATGACAATGTTTAAACCATTAAGTGTTATATTATTACAACCAGATTTGATATAATATGGAAGATCATTGAGGAATATATTAGATAACATGGGCGACAAAATGCATCCTTGTCTTACCCCAATGTTGGAGTTAAAGTTGTGAAATGCCCTTGTCAGTTTTGACTTTATAAGAGATATCATTATATAGTGATGGTATTATTTTAAATACATTTCCTGAGATTTTATTTGATAATAGCTTTGTTTGGAGTAGTGATCTGTCAATTAAATCAAAGGTCTTTGGAAAGTCTACAAAGCAATTGTATTGTCGTTTCTTTTTACTTTTCTTTTGTAAAATACATTAATGTTTAAAGAACGCCTACATTATCTGATGTTCGGTAGCCCCTTCTAAATCCAGTCTTGTGGTCTTGTAAGATTGTTATAAAGTTTTTTTCCATGTGTTCCATTATTGTTATATTTATGAACTTGCAAAATAGTTTACCCAAGCAGCTGCAAGCAATTAGTAATGATTCATATTAATTTAAACCGGAACGATTATGGGATTCAGAATTAACACGTAAATTGGAGTTGATTCTTTTTAACTTCGGTTGTCTAAAAGAGCAGTTGCGACATGTTCCTGAATAGTGTTACTCATGTATCTCTCAGACAAAACGGGGCGGTCGGGTGGCCTAGTGGTTAAAGCGTTTGCTCGTCACGCCGAAGACCCGGGTTCGATGTCGACATGGGTACAATGTGTGAAGCCCATTTCTGGTGTCCCCCGCCGTGATATTGCTGGAATATTGCTAAAAGCGGCGTAAAACCATACTCACTCACTCACTCATACAAAACACCCACACGCAAGCCTGGCCGGAGCTGCACGAATATACTCCCAATTATGACCACTCGCTCCTTTCCGTAACCCGTCAGCCCGCCATTCCATTCGTGACTAACTCGTTTGTTCTGGGACAAGCCGAATAGCGACTCGTGCCCCTCTCGTGGCCATTTTTGAATGGGTTCGGTCTTAGCGCAAACGGGCATATAGCTAAAAGACTTGTCAACTCGTTGTGTAATGATTCACGTATATTTCCCCCATATGTCATATATTTTCCAGATGCTATTGAAAACACATCGGGACTTACATTATTTTACAGTATGGTTAAACACCTTTGAATGTATCTTGGGTGTATTTTTAAATGCAAGACATATATAAAATCAATCCTGAGGGATTCTTTGACCGAAGTAGTTGACGTCATACACGCATTCTGACTGGTTTGTCGTATTTTCGCACATAACATCCATCGATAGAGGGACGAGTCTTCTTGCATGTTACGGAAAAGGTGACGAATGCCCGCCATTCGGCCGGTCACGGGACGATACGGGCGATCACGAATGGTAATTGCAGCCAGTTCAACGGTCGCATAAATAACTCCATCTTACCTACTTCCTTTTATGGACTGGGAGTTCAAAATCTTATAAAACTAATACATGCAAGGGGAAATAACTTAAAGATAAATTTGGTCAGAGAATTGTTTTTAAGTGCATTGGTTTATAATTCTTTATATGAATTAATTCTTTCAACAATGATTACAAAATAAACAATTTTTGTATTTTTATATATAGATCTATGTTTTGATATATAAAAATAATACTATTCCAATATTCGATTAAACAATGAGTGAGTGAGTGAGTGAGTGAGTGAGTATAGTTTTACGCCGCTTTTAGCAATATCACGGCGGGGGACACCAGAAATGGGCTTCACACATTGTACCCATGTCGGGAATCGAACCCGGGTCTTCGGCGTGACGAGCGAACACTTTAACCACTAGGCTACCCGACCGCCCCTTTAAACAATGAGACTAGCTATAGGCATCATAAATACATCTGAAATTCCAGAACTCTATAATGTTTTTAAAATATTATATATGTACGAGAGACAATCACATACATATAAATAGCAATATGTGTGTTTTGCTAAAACTTTCAGTGAGTACCTCAGAAATTCTCACAATGGCAAAAATAATCGCTCCTAAATCAGTTAAATCAAGTACAAAGTAAGTACAAATTAATAACAAACTGTTTCAGTATTCCGTTTTTACACACTCTATCCTATCAGGTTAATTATTGGCATTGGCTCTTTTCATAAAGAGGTAGAGCACACGTATTGATCCAGTCGCACCAGTCTAGGAAAAATGGGACATCTGAATGTAATTAGCGGCGAGAACAAGACAGGCCCAGGTTGTTATTAATTGAACATGCGCAGTCACGAACAGCAGTCAACCTACGGGCTTAAGTCACTGATTGACATTTTGCATTTGACATCACCTGGAGAAGGTAGCGCGTGAGAAAGGTAAGACCAGTTTGATGTTTGTTATATCTGAGGCACAGTTCTATTCGTAATTTGTGTGTCAAGCTTTATGTGGAGATATAAACTGATGCGCAGGAAAGTTGCTCATTATTACGTTACACTATATTGCCAGGAGGAGAATCGATTCCGTATATTGATTATTCTGGTTCACTTGACGAACCACACCTCTCATAATTACGGAAAGGCGCGAGTTGCACCAGACCACCTGGTGGGAGGACAACAACGAAGTGGTGGCTAGAGTTTTGGGATCTAAATTTTACAATTCCAATTTTCATTTCAAAAACACAATTTGTAGCATTTTTTAATTTACAACTAGTTTATGGCGTCAGGTAATTAATGTATATATCACCACTACATATGTTAGTTCACTGTATTATTTCTTTGTTAGAGGGGGCACGGGTGGCCTAGTCGTCTAAGGCGCCGCGATTCGCTGTGCAGAGTTGCGTCCCTTGGACACGCCAGAAACCTATGATTGTGGGTTCGAATCACGGTTCGACCCGATTATGTTTCTAGGTTTGTCAGCACCATACTCATGCTCGTGGGTTTCACCGAAGTGGTAAACGTCTGAGACCTGCATCACTTTGGGCATTCCTCCCACATTAAGCTGACACGCCGTGATATAACTGGAATACTGTTAAAAGCGGCGTTAAACCCAACTCACTCACTCACTCTTTGTTAGATTGTGTTTTATTTTTAAAAAATGCTAATATTCTATTAATATTCTATTTAAAATTTTGTACCATATTATTTAGTCAGTCTTGCTTGAGAGCGCTAAAAGGATCTGTACCTAAACGTCGATATTTCAGTAAAATAAAGTAGTTGTGATCCATAAATTGTGTCTAGTTTGCAATGGATCATATATGGCAGGTTGTTTGGGATTTTCAAGCGGCTGTTCAAGCATCACTCGTATTTCATTTCCAACGTGCACCCTACACGCTGATGTGTAGTGGTCGATACGGTGCCATGACAACACATACACAAACAGAACCTCCGGCAACATGCAACATTTATACAATCAATCATTGAGTAGACTGGTTGCGCACAATCGCTGTCTGGACACTATACCATGTGGACGCACTGCCTGGTGGCCAGATCACGTTTTAATTTGTCCCAGTGAGCTATCTCTAGACTTCAGTATCGGCACCAGCAGAATGGTATAATGGCGACCGACTCTGTGTTACACCGGCTGCCTAGTTGCTGCAAGGACATACAACAGCACCCTCTCCATCTGCAGCAATTCACGGATTACATTTTGGTGATGCTGCATCGAGCTGATGGGAGAGTACCGACGACGTCGTGAAACTGTGTTTGTTTTGGATGTTTGTGAGCAACGATCCATCTCTGGACACGATGACACGCGATCAACAAAGCCGCCGAATCTGACCATCCGACTTACCAACAACGACCAGCGTAAGTTGCTGGGGATCAATTCTAACCCCTTAAAGTCATCTACATGTAGTTTCCCCGGCTATCAAGTACCGTACATGTTTTGGTCCCAGGTTTATTCATATTGTTAGACTTGAAATATAATTCGCCTTCCTGATGATATTCTCTAGTTACGTGGGAAGTTTAGAAAAGGGCTCATAATTGTTTTCAAGGAAATATAAGGATTGGATTTGTCATGCCTAATAACTCTTGACGCTAAATATTCGTGTGTGTTTTTTCGGGGAAACGTACTACCCACAAGACGACTGCTAATGAGGCGGTCATAATTCTATACGTAAAACAGAATACTTTACTATTCACATCTACATGTACCCGGGGTAGAATAGGTCTTCAGCAACTCATGCTTGACGTAAAAGGCGACTATGCTTGTCTGTTTGTCTTTAGAGGCGACTAACGCGTACGGGATCGGGTGGTCAGGGTCGCTGACATGCTTGATGCTTGTCATCGTATCCCAATTGCGTGGATCGATGCTCATGATAGCAATCACTGATTGTCTGTTCCAGACTCGATATATATATGTTGGACTAACTTGGACTTTATTATATATATATAAACGAGCAAATGTTCACTCGGTGTACATGTAATATATAATAAGCTAATAAAATAAAGTCCACGTTAGTCCACGTTAGTCCAACATCTTCTATATATCAGTTTCAGACATAGTACTTTCACTGTCTCATGACAGCTCTTCAGTGGTCGCATGAGAGTATGTCTTGACATTTTTATCGACTTTTCTATAGCGTAACTGGAATACTGTCAAAACCCAACCCAACCCAACCCAACCCAACTCATGCACTCATTTCTATAGCGTCATTTATGACGCGAAGCGGATATCCTAGCTTCTATCATTTCTTTCAATGCTTTATCCGTTTCCGACACGATGGTGCATACTCTCCAAGTGAATAAGGAATGTTAGGTCTTATATGCCTGGGGTCACATGAACCCAATTGTAAGCATTGATGGAAGTTTGTATCCGTACCGTTGGTTTGTAGTAGATATCGGTTTTCAGTTTAGTATCCTCCTAAGTATCATGTAATGGGGTAAGTTTGAAATATTAAAATCCGCACCCCTTCTTCCCCCCCCCCCACCCCCACCCCCCCACCCACCCCCCCACCCCCCGACCTCCACCACCCTCTGTGTTTTCCGTGGCCGGATTCTTCTGAGAAATCTCACCTTTTCTTATAAGTGAATTGATTATCGCCAGGAACAGCTGAGAAGTTTCTGGGTTGCTGCGATCTGCTGGAAGTGAAGCGTGTATGCCAGATGGCCTGTCAAGATGCCATTTGGAAGCGGGCTCTTAAAAGAGGTAAATATATTCCCTACTCTTGTGTCAGGCCTATCAATTGACAGTTGCCATAGGGCATGTTTTCCACATTGTGAACATGATTTTATGAATCGAAATATGATATGATAAGAAATACTGTTTACCGTTTGACTATCGAACGTTGTCATTATATGGCAAAATACTTGAAATATTTCCTTTCACTGAGCACCGTTCACTTGGCCCGAGACGTAATCACTCAGTGAGATTTGATTGCCCCTTTCAAGGACAAAGGTATGAAATACAGTAAACTACGGTTATAACGAACTCAAAGGGACAACTTATTTTAGTTCGTTATAACCGTAGTTCGTTATAAGCATATATACAGCATATATATACAACAAATGGCCGGGACTAAAAAATAAGTTCGTTTTTCGGTCAGTTCGTTATAAGCGTGTTCGTTATAACCGTAGTTTACTATAAGAATGTCGTTTTTACTCTGGAAAGCACCTGGTTTTCGACTCGTCGCTGTCGCGATAGATGACGCCAAAAGAAAAGTAAGAAATATTGAACGTATTATTGAATGTCGTATATAAATACTTAAAAAAAATGGTCCGGAAGCCCTTCGGCGCATGATATAGATTAGATTTAGTTCAAATTATTAAAAAAGGGCTAAACATTTGCCCAAACCATGCTTCATGTGCTCGAGTGAAATCACAATTTGTACTGTTCAGTGAGTAGTTGCTGCCGACCGGCTTCCGGTTTGACATGTGAACTTCCGGTTTGGCACCCCTGTGAAGGAGAGTCCGTGACAATTGTCAGTTTCTAAATATGTTATTTGTTCGCTGGACTTTTTCTTATTTAAAATGAGAAGACAGAGTCAGTATTTTTGTGTGCTTTTGAATGAAATCACGATCATCCGTTCAGTGGGTGAGTGAGTAAGTACTGTTTTACGCCGCTTTTTAGCAATATTCCAGCAATATCACGGCGGGGGACACCAGAAATGGGCTTCACACATTGTACCCATGTCGGGAATCGAACCCGGGGCGTGACGAGCGAACGCTTTAACCACGAATCTACCCGACCGCACTCATCTGTTGAACGGAATATATAAGTCACGTCTTGTAATACATGTTTAGGGGCACGGGTGGCCCAGTCGTCTAAGGCGCCGCGATTCGCTGTGCAGAGTTGCGTCCCTTGGGCACGCCAGAAACCTATGATTGTGGGTTCGAATCACGGTTCGCCCCGATTATGTTTCTAGGTTTGTCAGCACCATACCCGTGCTCGTGGGTTTCACCGAAGTGGTAAACGTCTGAGACCTGCATCACTTTGGGCTTTCCTCCCACATTAAGCTGACCAGACGTGATATAACTGGAATACTGTTTAAAGCGGCGTTAAACCCAACTCACTCACTCACTCACTAATACATGTTTAGTTAATTTACCCAGGGCTCAATTCAACAATGCATTTATCAGGTGATCTGCATTCAGTGGTTTGGCGTTTTTCTTTGAGAACACTGGATTTCCGTCTTCTCATAAGGTAATTTAACTATTTCTTAAACTTAGTGTTTTATAGGAAATTGCAGAAACCTGTACTGTAATTCTATGTATTCTATATATGTGTAACAGACCCGTGAAGATGCGGTTTAGAATCATCTTCCCGAGGCAAGGGAGTTAAAACTGGACTTTTACTGGACTTAAACTGGACGTTAACTCCCTTGCCTCGGGAAGATGGTTTAGAATAGGTCTAATGATATGCTAATGTTGTGTTACAGTTGATTACCTGCAAACATGTTCATTTTGAAAGTAACCAAATATACATTTGACGAGGGGAAAAAATCAGGTAAACATACATATCCTTGTTCAGGGCTATAATCACCGTCAGCATAAATTTATACCGTGAAAGCGATTGATAAAATACTACATAGAAGAGGACCCTGCGGAATAATGAGCCGTGTACCATGCATTGTAAATATCAACTTACGACGGAGCTTGGTGCACGTGTAACATCGGCAGAGATCGTATTTCTCGTGCATCACGCAAGGGCGACTTACACATTATAAATACATTCAAAGAGTTCTGGTTTATTTTTCAAATATTTTTCACAAGGAGATGGTTTGTCAAAGTGTAAATGTAAGGATGTGTAGGGGAATATCCTCGTAACGCTCCATTCCTTAAAAAGTAATGGGCCTCGGGTCCATCATGTAATTTTCAATGAGAGTTACGAGGAAAGTTCTCAAATTGACCTTGCGTCTTTTTCAGTTATGGTTAGCTGTGCAATCCAAGTGTTAAGTATAACTGTTACCTGATGCATTGATGTGATGTGGGGTAAGGTGAAATGAGGCTAAAAATTATTTCACTAGTTCAATGACCCGTGAAGACCCGGGGTAGAATAGGTCTTCAGCAACCCATGCTTGCCTTAAAAGGCCACCATGCTTGTCGTAAGAGGCGACTAACGGGTGGCCAGGCTGACTTGGTTGATGCATGTCATCGTATCCCAATTGCGTAGATGGATGCTCTTGATGTCAAACCTAAAACTGTGTGTTTGAAAGTAATTTGTTGATTATTCAATGATATTTTGTGGTTCTTTACTTTGTTTACAATTACGTACGTACGTACCGATTTCTGGGTTAAGCAACAGACATAGGAAGGCATGTATATCACTAATAGGTAAGTAATGTTGAATGTGTTGGCTTTATAAAGAGGATGGTGATGACGTTACTGACGTAGGGTTTAACCCGGATCCCCTGGATATATACTCTTCTGGCCTAAGTGGGTGGTAAGTGTCTCAGACCACAATCACTTCGGAATTTCCTCCAAGATAAGTTACATCAAGTTCCCACGACGCTATAATTGACATATTGTTCAAAGCAGCGTTAAACCAAAGTCACGCATTGAGGGTCTCTGATGTTGAAGTTGATGATGATGATGATGATGATGATGATGATGATGATGATGATGGTGGTGATGATGGATTCTCAATGACTGTTCTTGGTGGTCATCTATGACTTTGAAATCATTTGCTGAAATATGAAACATGAATTAATATTTAGCTATACACTGTAGATCTATATGAAGTATCTACAGCCAATATCAGGGCCATCAATTTCTCCTTGTATTATATTATATTATATTATATTATATTATATTATATTATATTATATTATATTATATTATATTATATTATATTATATTATATTATATTATATTATATTATGTAAATGTTAGGAAGTAAGTACTTAAGCATGCTATTGATTGCTTCTAAAATTGGACTTTTTAAGCCGGGGCTGAATTTCGGATTTTGTCTGTTTTAATGGAATAACATTCTATCTGAAAACGCGCTGTCCCAGTAGAGGCTCCAAAACAGTTAACACGGGTACATGATCGTTCTGTACATTAGATTGTATTATTGGTTTTTATAATAATATACTGTATTTGTGGAATAGAGACATAAGTATGATATTTTTAATAAATTGCACAAAATATATTACAATGCCCTATACTTCACAAATATGGGGCCAGGCAAAGTGGACAGTGTGTGTGTCGGGGAGGGGATGGGGAGGGGGTCGGGTGAAGGAGAGGTTATGATACAGTTAGGATGCTTGACTGCCCCACTGAAACCACCTGAATTCAAATTTTGTAAGAACTAGTTCAAACGTCTTTGTGGTTGAATGGTACTCGAATGTTCATGTTGAGGACCCACATTAGATTCCCTTCATGTCGAGCCCACCCCTTGTGTCCCTGACTTTGCTGATAATATTGAAAAGACAACGTTACACCTCACTCGTGTATTTGTTTCAGGTCGAAAACTGGAATATATGGCTCTATTTGGCATTGCAGCAACCGCAGTGTACATATTTAGTCAGAAATATGACGTTTTGGAAGGCGGGTCTTCTTCAAAGCAGACGACAAGCGAGCAGACAGGTACAAGAATTCCTACCCAAAACGGAAATAAACGCACATGGAACAGTATATCGGAAAATCGACATAAACATTTCGTTATATGTATAGAATCTGGTCGCCTTGGAAACGCGATGTTTACTTATGCATCTATTTATGGTATTGCGTCGAGAAAGAATATGAGTGTTGTCATTGATGAAAGCAACCCGCTGGTGAAACATTTCAAATTGGACGCGAAAATTATGAAGATTCAGTCGCTAAGCGGTTATTTGAAATTGGTCGAAAAAAGTTCGTGCGACTTTGACCAAACATTGACTAAGTTCGACCCAATCAGAAATGTCATGATAGAACGGTATTTGCAATCATGGCTATACTTCTCTCACGTCCAGAACAAAATCCGGAGTCAATTTGATTTCACAGATTCTACAAAAGCATCGGCTGATGGTATTCTTAATAGGATTCGTGAGGAAAGGTCATTGTCAGCCAACGCGAGTGCCACCTTAGTTGGCATCCATTACAGAAGAGGGGACTATGAGCTGAAACATTTCAAAGATTTTGGTTATCAGCTTGCCCCAGTGGAATATATTCAACGTGCAATGGAGTACTTCCGCTTGAGGTACAGTCACGTGACTTTCGTCCTTGCAACTACTTCCGCTGACTTCGTAAAAGATCTTCTGAAGGATGGTGATGTCATACATGTGACTGGAGGTACAGCGATAGTAGATATGGCTATTATGGCGAGATGTGACCACTTGATTCAAACTGTCGGGACGTATGGATGGTGGTCAGGATTTCTAAACAGGGGTACTGTTGTGTATTATAAATACCCAGCAAGAGAAGGATCTGATTTCCGAAAAATGTTTAGTAGTGATTATTCAAGTTTTTTCTACCCCAAATGGATCGGAATGGAATGATAAATGGAACTATTTCATCAGGTGTTTGAACATGAGGGTATTCCTGGTAAAAGGGCTTTCAGCACATGTGTTTGTCAATGGATGTGACTAATTGGATCGGGGGGTCATCCAAACCCACACTCACAACCCTCACACCAATACCCTACAACCATCACTCACGCCCACACCTCTCACACAGACCACGTGATAAAACTTTTACATTGCTTCTTAAGGATTCAGCACACATGTAAACGCATGAATACGTTTTCGTCCAAGTCACGGTTTGCTAAAACGGTTGATTCCTTCCCAAAATATACGCATGCGCGTTACACGCAGCAGAAACTCTTGACAACAATCGACCGCCTCCGTGGTCTAGTGGTAGAGCGTCCGCCAGGAGAGCGGAAGGTCCGGGGTTCGATCCCCGACCGCGTCATACCAAAAGACGTTAAAAGATGGTACTTGTTGTTACCCTGCGCTCGGCATTAAGGGGCTAAAACAAGGACTGGTCGGCTCGGAGTCAGTATACTGTGTCTGAGTGGGATATTCATGTTAAAACTGCGGCATGGTATCTCAGTGAGCTAGCACTATAAATGGGCATCAGTCCGGACTAGAACAAGCAGCCACACAAGCACACACACGTGCATACACGTCGCTATGTAAGTGCAGTAATCTTGGACGCGACGTTAAACCCCATTTCACCTCACCTCACCTCAAACGGTTGATTCCTTCCCAAAATATACGAATGCGCGATTACACGCAGCAGAAACTCTTGACAACAATCGACCGCCTACGTGGTCTAGTGGTAGAGCGTCCGCCCGGAGAGCGGAAGGTCCGGGGTTCGATCCCCGACCGCGTCATACCAAAAGACGTTAAAAGATGGTACTTGTTGTTACCCTGTCTGGCGCTCGGCATTAAGGGGCTAAAACAAGGACTGGTCGGCTCGGAGTCAGTGTACTGTGTCTGAGTGGGATATTCATGTTAAAACTGCGGCATGGTATCTCAGTGAGCTAGCACTATAAATCGGCATCAGTCCGGACTAGTACAAGCAGCCACACACACACACGTACATGCACGTCGCTATATAAGTGCAGTAATCTTGGACGCGACCTTAAACCCAGTTTCACCTCACTTGACAACAATCACAGTGACATCACAAACAGTCAGTTAACGTATTCCGTCTATCGTATTTCTTTCAATATTTGAAATCGTTTTTAGTAAAACACGTTTTATGAACATGTAAACTCTTGTAATTGAATGAATTCGGGTTTAGCCAAAGGGGTGGGTGGCATACTCCCGAGCTCAAGGAACATAATCCGAGTGACTCTGAGATAAGAGCCTACCATCAATAGGTGCCATCCCCGAAGGTCCAGGGTATTATATGTCCATTCTGTTATGATAAATACCCTGGATCCATTCACTACCATTGCTTAGTTTTGGTGGACGAAATGACATCACCACCTCCATTGCTCCTATCTCTACGTTTGCACTTTTATACAAGAGATCACATTTGCACTGACAGCTGCAAGTTTAACTTCCTTCGAATTGGGCCCCAGGGTATTTTTCAGAATAGAATATATATATAATACACTAGATAATCGAGCTCAAAATAGCTGATGGCAAGAATAAACAGCAGGTCCCTTCTCACATCGGATACCGTAAAGATTCCGAGTAAGAATTGGTCTTCAGCTACCCATACTTGTCGTAAGAGGCGACGAACGGGATCTGATGGTCTGGCTCGCTGACTTGGTTGATGCATGTCATCGTATCGATGCACATGATGTCAATCACTGGATTGTCTGGTCCAGACTCCATTATTTACAGACCGCCGTCATATAGCTGGAATATTGCTGAGTGCGGCGTTAAACAACAAACAAACAAACATGTGCAGCCATGCGAAAGTTTGTGAATGTTTTTTTTGTACAGCTAGTTGTGAAAAATCGAAACCCAAACTGAAAAGGAGGAAAAGAATTGGAATAATTTAACCCATTCTGTACCAGCCAGCTATTATCCAAAGTCTGGCTGCCCTCAGGGGGCACGGGTGGCCCAGTCGTCTAAGGCGCCGCGATTCGCTGTGCAGAGTTGCGTCCCTTGGTCACGCCAGAAACCTATGATTGTGGATTCGAATCCCGGTTTGCCCCGATTATGTTTCTAGGTTTGTCAGCACCACACCCGTGCTCGTGGGTTTCACCGAAGTGGTAAACGTCTGAGACCTGCATCACTTCGGGCTTTCCTCCCACATTAAGCTGACACGCCGTGATATAACTGGAATACTGTTAAAAGCGGCGTTAAAGCCAACTCACTCACTCACTGGCTGCCCTACATGAAATGCTTGTAGTGTTTCCCAATGACAAGACCTCAAAACCTGAACCAATATATTATGCAACCGTCACCACATTAGTTATTTGATCAAAGAACTTGGTGTGAGTGGCATACATGCCCCCGCCAAATGAGAAATCCTTTTGGACTTAACATTTTTGTCATCAAAGGACATAAATATGTGTAGCCAGATACTTCAATAGCATAATTCTGAAAGAACCACTTTTCAATTTGTTTAAATTATCACCCTTACGACTGTCTTTTGATAGACTGACGCTTAACTTCCGAGTTGAACAATACGCATCCGGTATGTCTATTTGTTCTTGAAAGAACGTCAGTGAGTGAGTGAGTCAGTTTGGTTTTACGCCCCTTTCAGCAATATTCCAGCAATATCACGGCGGGGGACACCAGAAATGGGCTTCACACATTGTACCCATGTCGGGATTCGAACCCGGATCTTCGGCGTGACGAGCAAACGCTTTAACCACGAGGCTACCCGATCGCCCCAAAAGAACGTCAGTGTAAAAACTGTTCACTCGTTATCATCTGGCAATGGAAAGGGCGTGACGGGTCAGCTGAAGAGATTATGTTCGCGTCCTACAGTGTGTTAACGGAGATGTCATGTCCCGCTTTTCCATTTATTTAGTTTTATAAACTTTTATACAAGAGATCACATGTATCAAATTGTAGAAAGGAATACTTAGTTCTTATATTTATCTCAAAAACGCTGCTTTTCTTCAGATAAAAGAAAATAGAAATACATTCTTTGGCATGCATTTCCTTTTTATTAACGTCTGACACTACAAACAGGCCATCCATGCCATTTTGACCCTATACAGAATTGTCGTATGCCACGGCTCACACAGCTGTGAGAACGACGTCGTTGTGATGTCGGCGATGTTGCAATTTATCCTGATGTTTTCAACATTTGCCACATCTATGAACGTTAGACCGGAGACGACCGAGGGCACTTTGCTGAATGCACGGTCAAATGTGACTGTGCGGCGTTGGAATGGTGTGACATCGGTCCGGGAAAACGTAATAGTCCCGGACTGACCTGTATAAATGAAAACTGTAGCGTTATCGCTGATTAGGGTAAAACCCAGTCTGTATTAAGAGTTAGCTCCCCTATGTATATGTTTGCGTATTATGTCATCAAGTGACATCATGGATTATTGTGTACTGGAATGGACGCCATGCAGGCTGTCGCCTGTACTCCGGTCAATAAATCGTGTTCAAAAGAACCCTTGTCTCAGTGACGTAACACAACAAAAACCTCAGGAATCTGAAGTTCTAAGACTGCGACATGTTATGTCCTTATTACCACCAAACACCCCTTCAGCGAACTGCATGAAATGCGACCCGTGAAGATTCCTGGGTAGAATAGGTTTTCAGCAACCCATTCTTGCCGAAAAAAGGCGACTATGCCTGTCGTAAAAGGCAACTAACGGGATCGGGTGGTCAGGCACGCTGACTTGGTTGATACATGTCGTCGATCCCAATTGCGTGGATCGATGCTCATGATGTCAATCACTGGATTGTCTGGTCCAGACTCCATTATTTCCAGACCGCCGTCATATAAGCTGGAATATTGCTGAGTGCGGCGTTAAACAACAAACAAAACATGTAACGCAACTGCTCATACCAGCATGCTTCTTTGGGGCTACAGTAAACTACGGTTATAACGAACTCAATGGGACCACTTATTTTAGTTCGTAATAACCGTAGTTCGTATATATATACAGCATATATACAACAAATGGCCGGACTAAAAATATGTTCGTTATATCTGTCAGTTCGTTATAAACGTTGTTTGCTGTATATTGTATCATCAAATCAATTATATATCTTCTTGTTTGATTGAACTGACAGGCTTGTTACATTTAAAAATATAGTGGAAGGTGAGGTTGGTGTGCGTTATTTGGATTTTTTTAAACGAGCAGACGATTGACGTTTCCTGACATATATATTCGCCTGTTACACGAACAAGAACGCAAGCCATTGTCGTTTTATTTATGTTTTTTTATAAAGCTCTTATGTCAAAAAGTGAACATTTCCCAGTTCTGTGTGTTCTTTTGATAAACAATAAAAAATACAAATATTGTATACTTACATGTCTTGGCTAAAATACCTGAAAGGAAACGATGCGTGATTTAGTAGACCAAAATGGATATGGTAATATCTGTGTTTATAAATATATTATTGCCTCAAGATAAAAAGAATGTGTGCATGTATGGATGTATACCTGCTTTCCCCGCACTCCACCTGGTGAGCAGTATTATAAAACATAAGGAAGAATGTGAAAAAACGTGCATTGTACAAGATAAATATAACAAATAATTCTATGTACGTTTTCATAGCTGTGTGCAATCATTATAAAAGCAATCTCATTTATCAATTATTCATTCACCATTCACACATGATGCTGTATACATCAGGAGTCTGTATTAGGCCTAATCAGGCTGTCGCGTAGTGGAGTTCCGACGATACTGTATGCTTAATGAGATCTCTATCAAATTCTATACATCATCAGATGTCATTGATACTATGTACATGTACGACTCGTGAAGATTCCGGGGAAGAATAGGTATTCAACAACCCATGCTTGCCGTAAAAGGCGACCATGCTTGTCGTAAGAGGCGACTAACGGGATCGGGTGGTCAGGCTTGCTGACTTGGTTGATGAATGTCATCGTATCCCAATTTCGTGGACCGATGCTCATGATGTCAATCGCTGGATTGTCTGGCCCAGTTTCGATTATTTACAGACCGCCGTCAAATACCTGGAATATTGCTGAGTGAAGACCCCGGATCTTCACGGGTCGAGGTCTTTATGAGACGCCTTCATGCGATAGTATACGCCACATTGCTTCTACGAAACTGTACACGCAATGCTATCTCCCTCACACTGAATACGAGGCCTCTATGACACTGCAAACACCATGTTATCTGTATGTGATTATTAACGCCATGAGGTCTATATGAGACTGTATATGCCACGAGGTCTCCGTGTTATTGTAGTTCGTATGATATCTCCATGAGCCTGTTAACGCCATACGGTCTCTATGAGACTCTATGTACGCCCCCTATATGAGACCCCTTTGATAATATTTCCAACCTCCGGTAATCATGATTGCCACATGAGGCCGTACACGCCATA